CCTTCTGTCTGTCCATCCATACTGAGGACTGAAACCCAGAGTTTTGGTCATCCTAGGAAAGTTCTCTATTGCTGAGTTATAATCCTAAACCATCTTTTTTTACTTCCCCACCCCTAAATATCACCTCACACTGTAGTGTAGTCCAAGCTACCCTGAAGCTCATAGCAATCCTCTTGCCTCAGCCTCCCAAGTGTTGAGATTATAAAATTGAGTCAATATGCCTGGTTCTCAGCCTTCTTTTATTATTTTATTTATTCCAGCCCTCTTTTTCCTTTTTATTTTCAAGACAGGGTCTCAGTAAATTGTCCAGTTCTATCAGGCTTTGAACTTTCAAGTCTCCTGAGTAGACTGGGATTACAGGCTTGCACCATCAGTTCTCACCTGACTGATATTTTAGGGTGGATTGATTATTTATTTATTTATTTATTTATGAATGAATGAATGAAATGGGTCTCACTGTGTAGCCCCAGCTGGCCTGGAACTCATTATGTAGACCAAGCTGACCTTGAACTCACAGAGATCTGCCAGCCTCCACCTCCCTGCCTCTGCTGGGATTAAAGGTGTGCACCACTATGCCCAGCATATATATTTATTTATTTATAGCTTACTATTTGTTAAGCTTTATGCTAGCCTTTGGAATTATAAAGATGATAAAAAGAATGTTTCCTGAGCTCAAAGACATGAGTTTTTTTTTAAGTAATAAGAACGTTTCAAGGAATGAGAAAATTGTATAAAATGTTTACTCAACTTTTATTTACCCTTGTAAGCTCCTTTCAGGTATTAATACATTACATTTGAGTGTCTTAGGCATTATGTGCTTTAATTGCAGCACCACACTTAATTTTCCCATGGCTCTCTGACAGTCCAAGACACCAAATTCAATGTATGAATTGTTGCCTTACATTAATTGATGTCTATAAAGGTTGACATTTGAGTCCTTCAAGCCATGGATAAGCCTTTACGAGTTAGGCTTAAAGGGGCAGTATTTTAAAATGAAAGCATTGCTACTCCATCATCGTATGGGTTGATATGGTGGTGTACTTTTAATCCCAGCACTCAGTATGCAGAGGCAGGTAGATTTCTGAGTTTGAGGCCAGCCTAGTCTACAAGTGGATTCCAGGCTAGCCAGTGCTACATAGTGAGACCCTGTCTCAAACCAAACCAAACAAAAACACAAAAAATACTCCCACTCTGAAACAACAAACAAATAATGCCTCCAACTACTTTATTATATCCTATAATATTTGTACTGTGTGTGAGTACAGGTATACTCGTGCCAGAGCATGTGTATGGAGATCAAAGGACAATTTCTGGAGTCCTTACCTTCTACCTTATTGAATCAGGCTCTCTTGTTTAGCTGTCCCAGAAGCTTCCAGGTGATTCTCCCATCTTGGCCTCCTGTCTCACATCTGACTTTTAACTTGAGTTCAGGGTATTGAATCCAGATAGTGAGACTTGCATAGCCAGTGCAATTATCACTTTGGCCTGCTGAGCCTTCTCCTTTGCCTGAAATGTTGTAACTCAAGCATGTCCACTTCGAGGTCTTTGACATTTTCAGGTTCCTCTGATTGAAGCATTCTCTTTTTAGGATCTACGTGGTTTGCCTTTTACTTCTTCCTTTGTTA